GATGTCGATCTTCTCACCGGACACAGTCTGGAGGGTAACGCAGGGCGGCGTCCAGATAAGTTTGTTTTCCCAGTTGTTGAGCCAAATCTTTTCGGATGATGGTAACGTTGGCTCCTGTATCTATTGTCATATTGCAGGGAACTCCATTAATATGTCCTATTATGAAAAGTCCATTACTGCCGCCTCTCACTGCAGAAATCTGAAGCGCTTTAAACTGGGGCTTTTCATTATCTGGCAACCTCCGCCCCGCGAGATGGCCACTAATTAGTTTCCCTGCTGCTTGTTAGGAGCGGTCTTAACATCCGTGCCCTGGGGTGTTCTGCAGTTTCGTCGTATGTGTCCTTCAGCACCGCAGTTCCAGCACTTTACGGTCGGTTTCTTATCACCAATATTCCGTCTCAAAGCGTTCAGTTGTCTAGTTAAATCGTCTAGACGAGCAGTGACTTGATCCCCTGGCTCCTGGACTTGAGCAGCTCTGATTGGGTGGCGGTCTCTACGAGTTGCTTGCTGGGCTGCCTCGAATTTCATGGCGTACACTAAAGCACTTTTCAAATCCTTAGCATCCGCTATTCTTAACGGCTTTCTGTATTTCAGGATCCGGGATGCCTTCGATAAAGTATTGCAGGGACAGGATTTCCCTTGTTTCTGTCGGGCACTCCGAAAAGGCGAGATGGGACAGCCTTTTCAACATCCGTGGCGAGCTTCCTGAAGTGTTTCGGTGGGCTTCTGTTGACGGGAGATTTTAATTGGAAGCCTGCTGTAGTCTTTTAAACACTTTCTCGCCAAAGCGCAGCTCCAATGCGCCGGATAGAGCTTCGAAATCTAACCTTTTTGGTTTTCGGGAAGCGTCTGCAGGATATCCGCTGCGTCTGCTCTCAGAGAAGCGGCGAGATGACAGGCCTTAGCTTGGGAATCCCATCCATTCGCATCCGCCAACGATAGAAAATTGTGTCTTATACACTTGCCAGGAGGTCTTCCCATCATATGTGGATAGCTTCAGAGATGGACGAGCAGGCATCGGTAAGAATTTAAAACCCTCAGAATTGCTCCCTGCCGTTCGCTACGAATTTCTTTAAAGTGTCCATTTCTTTGGCAACTGCAGAAACTCTCTCATCAATTTGTTGTTCGATTTGGTGTTGGACGGCACAACTCTTCCTTCAATTCGTTCCTCCACAAGAAACTCTCTCTTCTATATGTTCTTTTACAGAAGAAACTCTTTCTTCTATTTCTTCTTTCACCGAAGAAACTCTTTCTTCAATTTGTCCAACTTTATTTTCAACTGCGTCAATTCTGCCTTCCATAGCTTCAAATTTATTTTCTATTATGCAGGTAATTTCTCTTTTCATTTCTTCTTGACCTGCTTCAATCTTTCTTGACCAGCTTGAACGGCTTTCATTTCGTCCTTAACAAAGATTCCTGGCCCAACTTTCATTTCTTCCTTTAACGGATTCTTAATTTCTTCTTTAAAGATCTTTCATTTCTTCTTTCAACGAGCAAAGGCTGAGATCAACTGCCTTAATTGCTCTTCCATCGCTCTTGTTATTGGCATTCAAATCCCACTTCTGACACCAAAAATTGTTGCGTGCGTACGGGTTCGTTATGAAATGAATGCACAAGTCCGATGAAAAATGAACAAAAATTTATTATTATCACAACAAAAATGCTTAAATTTTCTCAAATTATCATGCAGTATTACAATATCTCACAGTAGTTATCTTTTAACTACTCAAATGTCCAATAGAACGTAATTCAAAACAAAACAGCTAAAGAACGCTAATCCGCGAATTCGCTACAATCAACAAGAGCAGTTTTCTAAACAACAACAAACTAAGCAACTACTACTACGAACTGAGATGTTTTCCTCCTTTTATAAGATTTTAAAATCACGCGCTAGAATTTTCCAGTACTTTCTCGAAATCAAAAAGAGATATTTATTTATTTAATGCACGCGCTCTTGTATTTTCAATTTTCCGGCTTAGCTTTCTTTTAATATTCGTCACGCGCTGCACTGCGCGAGAAATAAAACCATTTAATTTATAATTGAACTAACATTAGCTTTTTAAATAGCAAATTCGTAACAATATTGAAGGAAAAACCGTAATATTGATAATAAAAAATTTCAATGAAAAGTAACGTTGTGAAAAACATTCTAATGTAAATTGAAGAAATTGCTTTTCACCAATTCAAATATATTTAAGATTTATCTATGCATATTAACATCAGGAACTTCTGGAAGCATCATTTTAATATTGTCCATTGTTTAACTCTTATTGATAAAACCTGGGAGTAGGAGCCTTACAGAACCACGAATACTATCAGAAAGAAATTATGCCCTGACTGGGTTGCAAGCAGAGACTTTTGAGCTTTTTGATACATACGATTTCTTTTGTTGTCGATGATATTATGTCTGGGGTCAAAATCATGAGATAGGAAGTTAACAGTGAAGGCATGGGAAGTTACTAGAGGAGACTGCTATAGAGTTAGCTTAATATGAAAGAATTACTACATCTTCAACAATAAAGAAGCTATAAAAGACGATTTCGGACATTTCTCTTCAGAAAAAGCGAAAGAAAGAAACATGACCCGAGTTCTCGAATCTGCAGAATTTGTGGAAAAGGGTATAAGATGCAAAACTGTCACCCAAATAAAGCAGTAACGTTATAGCAAACCACGAAACCGCCAGTGCAGCCAGCCCGTTCGCGGTATTCGAACCTCGAACCGAACTACCAGTGTTCAGCGACTTTACCTGGGCCATTGCTTTTTGGGCTACGAACTTTATACACAAAGGACTCTTTCAAAATTTAAATAAATCCTATGTGACCGACTAAGGAATTAATCCACTTTACTGTAGAAAAATATTGTTTCGATTTAGGAACATAACAGTTGACGAAGGCCTTCAGGAACGAATTAAACTCGTAAATCGAGGATTTAGTGTAGTGCCTTTCTGTGAAGAATGCAATCTAGAAGATGGGAAGGAGGATGTGTAATCAAACATCATCCAAAATATTTGAATAGCGTTTTAAAAATATGTTCTAATCCAAATAGCAACTGCAGCTTGGAAAAAATAAACAATCGCATGTATTTTACTTTTGCGTATGTAAAAATGGAGAAATACTATATTCTACTATCTGAAGCATAAATTTATGAAGGGAAATGTGCATATTGTTGGTTTATGTTTTTATTAATGTTTATTGAGTCCAAGGTAATGTGCTTTCTTTGTTAGAAAAATAGATCCATATACGAAATTTTATTCTCCTTGTTATCAAACCATTATCTTAAAGCCGATATTTCATCATAACAAATCCCTACATTCTATCACGAAAATTAAAAGAAAAAAAAAACAAATCTGAAATGTTTCAGATTTTAAATTACGTCCAAAGGGGCGTTTTTTAACATTTTGTGTGTTACCTTTCTTTATTAAATATCATGTTCCTCGCACTTAAACCATAAGATCCAGTGCAACAGCAATATCGCAAAATAGTTTTAAAACGAGCATATCTTTAGAATTTCCGATACAGAGACTCACGCGCTGGAGATAAAAATGTTTTTTTTCTGCACAACGTTGCCATTGCTCGCTTTGAAATCCTTGAGTTTGTTAATCAAAAATTCGTCAAAGTTTTAAAAAATAGGAAATCGATCATAAAACAAATTTCAAATTTCAAATTTGGTCTTCCACATGCTCATATTCGTTGGAGGATTACGTTATTCAAAATTCGATGACTCTATGTACCGTTGTTTTATCACAATCCGAGAAATATACATACATTTATGCAGATTTTTCATTATTTAATTTCTTCAAATATAATGCAGGACTCTAACATTTTGTGGCAACAGTTTGAAAAGTGAACCGACATTTATGAGTCCGACGCAAAATGCCAAAACGAAACTAATAGTCCTTCGGGATTCAAATCCCTTTGGACTAAAACCTCTAGCTTCGTCATCGTAAGGCTCCAGCTACATATCACGACCAATGACCTAATTTTAAGGAAATTTAACAAGCGGTAACAAAATAAATATTTTAGCTGTATCTTTGTTAAATCTAAAAATGTCTCTTTCTACGCAATTTGTTTTGGTATATTGAAAAAAGTCATCGAAAGATAGCAACATTCGATTTTATGGGACTCAAGGAAAACAATGTTTTGAGTGTGTCACGTGTGATCGTATAAAAAAACGGTTTTTTGGCTTGTAAAAGTTCCGATACAAGTTATGATTAAAAAGAAACTTCTAGGAAGTATGTAATAAACATTGTAAATATAGTTGTAAGTAAAAGAAATACATATGTTTCATCAAAATTAGTATTTTTAAATTTTATCAATCTTCCATGTACTATGCACGGAATATGGAGTTCTTAACACGGAATATAAATACGTAAATATTGAATTTTTAACCACTGTGTGGCTTTGTACCGCTCAGCCGGTACAGTTGGTAGTGACGCTGACTGCCGTACTGATGAGCCCGGTTGGAATCCCGAATCGTTTATAAGCGTATAGTGCAGTGATTCTCAATCGTTTTTGCTCCCTTTCACCACTGCTAAAAGATCATTCCCCCTCCATTTCCAAACTCGCAAACTACATGTACATTTATTTAGATTTACACAATTTGTTTAACAGTTCAGCAGGAAACAGGTGGGCTCAGACTCATCTCATTCCTGCTGAAAGTATTATATCCTCCCAGTAGGAAAGTTTGCATTGTTGATAACCGTTCGTATAGTATCTGCATGGCAAGGGGGTACTTAAAGTACTCGGAACTGCACTGTTAGTTCAGCAGAATTATACCTGTACAACGAATGGTGAAATTCTGGTATTCCTCCCACATCTACCTGTTCTTGTGCGTTTGTGTTGTTGAAATTTATACGCTTGTGAAAGTAAACTCATTTTAGTATCTTCATTTTCATCTTTTTCATGTCTTGTGTTTCTTTTATTTTGCTCCTAATTATTTCCTGTACAAGTATTTCTGTAGTGTTTGCTCTGTAAACTAATCTGTGCTTTCTTCTGTTGCAGGTCCTGCAAGCAGACTGTGACATTACTTGTATGCCAGCCTCATACAAATAACGTAAGTTCATTTAAATTTGTTCATTTTTATTAAACAAGTCGTCAACATTTTGCAAAACTGGGGCAGGGAATGAAAGGGACGTTCTACGAAATGGGAAAGGAGAAGCATTAACGGAATTGTTGATGAAACTCATAGCAACTTTTGAGCTCGGTGTTTCAAAAATCAGAAAAACCGTAGCTGCCTAGCTTAACTGTGGTGCCGTCTCACATATAGAATCGTTCATCTACTATCTGTGTTATCTTTCTTATAAGAATGCACCCGAGGTAAGCGCAGTACATGCTGACAATCACGAAGCCGTTGCAAACATAGGTTCACCATCACCGGTTTAGTCAAGGCTAGTATGATAGCGTTATCGAATATAAGCAGAGCATGACTACCAAAAAAATTTCGAAAGATTTCTAATGTTGTTTCGTGTATGGGAAGGAAGTGCAAGATATTTTTAACGCAGGACTATATTTAGACTTTTAGAAGCAGTTTTGCACTTGACTTTTAGAGGCTTTTTGCGGTTTTGCACTATAAAGATTTTGGAATCTCCGTAGTATATCTGCTCCAAAATATAAGTAATAATAAACTCCCACTTATACAGATGCAGCAAAATCTACAATAAGAGGGAAAAGATTTCATTATTGTGTATTTTATTTATATTCTAAATGTTTTCCCCTACATTTCTATTTGCAAACTCTCTTATAAGATCCTCAAATTTGATAACACATATGTTTTGTGCCATGTAAAGGTAAGATATACAGGAGGCCATGTTGCATAGTTGCGATCATTTCCCATTTTTACTTCCTTGTACTACGAAGTACAGAAGTATTGCAATCGCGAAAAATTTCGATACCATGTTTCAACAGAAGTATCCATTTTGATGGCTCTCAAATCCATCTGAATGATATTTGTGCGTGAGATCTGTACGTACAGACAGAACAAAGGACTTCTTTTTCCAAAACGGATTCTAAAATAGATTTAAAGGGGTTCAGAAGAGATTTTATTCATGACATTGACACGACATCTGTTCTTACGACATCTGTTCACGACATCTGTTCGTACGTATGTATCAGTCTGGCAATAAAAAAAAATCTTCGATAGTCAATCATAGTTGGAAATTTAATTGCAATTTTCACTGTCTGGTTCTGCAAAAGTTCTCTGTAAAGCTTCTTAAGTTAGTGAACTAGATTTCCTTGAAGCTTTTCACATTCTCAAAAAATTATTTCCTATATCATTATTTCCATTATACTTCTTCCTGTAATATCATTATTTCCATTATACTTCTTCCTGTAATATCATTATTTCCATTATACTTCTTCCTAATGCTTTCAGAACTTTTATTTTTATTTATTTATTTATTCATTTTTCATTACTATTTTTTTCGATGATGGCGCTAAGTTCGTACTTGAACTGCTCCGCTCATCACTTCTGGCATATTAAGCGGTCGTCATTCCTCCCATTTTGAAAAAATGATTTTGCTCTTGAAAACAAATGCGTTTAATCGTCCTTGAAATCGATAAAGTTTTATTCAAAGCAAACCTCAAAAACGAGTAGCCGTAGAACGCTGAAATTTTGTATGCGGGACTGCTATAACATCCAATTGGGCACCTTACTTTGTAATAGCATTTGGCCCGAGCAAACACACATATATATATATATAGATTTTTCTGTCTTTTACTGTTTTAATGAAGATGTTTTCAGTTTGTATGCTTTTCTGGCTTGCCACGAAGTGAGAACTGAATTGTTTGAATGAGAAATACACTGATGTAAGAAATTAAGAGAATTTTCATATTTGATCTACGATCTCTAGAACTACTGGACAGATTTTAATAAATCTTGGTGTGAACATAGGTTGATATAATACAAACAAAATAAACATTCAACAGTTATAATAGACACACATTTTCGTGTGTAACACTCATGGGAGTCTGAATGTCTGAAACAGCGGTTGCAGAAGATACAAAAGAAATGGATTAATAGGGGGTACGGTCCCCTCCTACAGTCCTACAGCCATATAGGCCTCGCAGCGTGATGTCATATTGGAAATAAGGCAGTTATCAGTGCCTGTGGCAATTGGTCTCACTCATTCAGCATCGCTGTTTTCAGTTCGTTCCTGGATGGTTCTCGGAGGCGGGTTGCGAGTTGCAATTGCCCTCCCCTGAGCGTCCCAAACATGCGCTATAGGGATAAGGTCTGGAGACCTGGCTGGACAATCCATCCGGCAAATATCCTCGCTCTCAAGAAATTCGTTGACCAGGAGAGCTCTATGTGGCCTCGCGTTATCGTCCTGTAAAATGAACTCGGAGCCCATTGCACCTCGGAAAAGGCGAACATAGTGCTCCAAGAACTCATTCCTATACCTCACACCAGACACAGAGACCTCTGTCAAAAACGTGGAGAGGTGTACGGCCATCCAACATGATGCCTGTCCAGATCATTACACCGCCACCGTCACCGTCATAATTGTTGATTTCGCGAACATTGGAGGATAGGTAGAGGGTCCTTGGCTTTCCCTATGTGAAAGTATGACGAGAATCGGTGTTTAGGCTAAAACGGAACTCTTCGATGAAACGAATGTCGCCCATTGCTCCGTACTCCAATCACTACGCTGCCTGCACCATGCTAATCGGACTCTCCTGTCCGTAGACGTGAGCAGGACGCAAACAGTCGGTCTTCTGGCAAACAACCCTCTCTCATTCAGTCTTTTGGAAGCAGTGACCCTTGTTACACGGGTTCCTGTGACTGCATACAGGTCCCGAGAGAGCTGAGAAGCTAAAGCCCCTCTAATATGCCTCGCTAAAATGGACAAATAGGGATCTTCTCTGGCCGTCGTGGCTCTTGGACGACCTTGTCCGGGATTTCTCTCGATGGATCCGGTATCCTGGAACTGTTGCCATATGTTACACACGACGCTGGACGTTAAAGTAAACTCTCTGCATATCTGGACTTGCGATCGGCCTGCCTCTAGCCTTCCCACAATTCGTCACCTCATTCCATCATCTAAACGTAGGTGGTTACTCATTGTTACTATTACGATGTGAATTTAACCGATTGCTGCAAGATAACACCGAGAAATTCGGCGAGGTGTGTTCGCGAACGCAATTCGTCTTACCCTCCACGCGCTTATGAAGCTTGTTTTTCTGCTGACTACGCCTACACACACGTGTACGCTTACGTATTTGCCGTACAAGATTTGTATTTTTACATAGAAGCAGTGGTTTTTCCTTCAGTTCAGTTCTTTTCATGCAGTTCGATAAAATACGCAAATTCTCTTAATTTATTTCTCCAGTGTATATCTCTGATAAAATTCGAGGAAATACGTTAAAATGAAGTACAGCAAAAGATATGTATAACTTAATAGCCAGTACAAGGAAGCCTTGCCGTGCCTACGTCAGATATTTTTATTCTGTTGATATATTGTGGAATATTGTAAAAGTATTTTGAAAACATTTATTGTGCAATTTACTCTGAATTTTCTGTTGGGAAAGTTTGAATTAGTTTATTTATCATAAGAGAGTTTTTTTTTTTTTTTTTTGTGGAATTCTGTTTAAGTACGCTTTTGAAATTTTTAACAAAATGTTCTATTTTGCATCTTGAAATGAGAAACTTCCGTGGTACCATCTAAGACGTACTTATAAAGTCGGTAAATGCTGATACTCGTCGCTAAACGCTGATTCGTCTGGGATTCGAATTCCGGCAAACGACTGACTGCATGGAATATTGGTGTTTTTTCCTCATGTGTAATGTGGATACGAGACAGTTTCCTTTAAAACAGCTTCCACGAAAGTATCCCTTTCCATAGGCAGATAGTACTGCGTTGCTGTAATCGAGTACTAGAGTTGCATTGCTCTAATCGGTTTTTCTAAGTTTTATAAGGTGTTATTGCCAGTGTTCGATATAGTTTCTTATTTGAAAAGCAATTCACCTAAACTGTCTTGAATTTTTCTGTTAAATATTTTGAATGTGAAGTGCCTTTGCTTCACATTTTCATATTCAAAATATATAACATACATAAGACAAAAGAGTTCTTTCTTTTTCTTCTTTTCATTTGTAAAAAACTTTGCTATGACGATTGCGTAAAAAAAGCGTATTTTTTAAATTATAAATTTTAAAAGAAATCCTTAAAATATATTACCAGTTTTCTTGATTCCATTATTTAATAGCTCTATCCAAACTTCCTTTCTATAAAAAATAATTAACAGTTTAGTAGGTTTCATGATTGCAAATATTATGAATGAAAAATCCCCTTTTCATAAGCCACTTTCCTTCTTAAAGGCAAATTATAAATGAGAAAATTAAAGATCTGAGCCATGCAGTGTTTGCTTTTATCTGTTTGATCCGAATGAACTGCAACAGAAACAGGAGTTACTTAAATTTTGCTATTTTTGCTTAATTTATTATTCTTAGCCGCGAAGGAAAATAAAGGAAAACTCTACCTTTTTCTCCTGATTAATTTATGGTGTATCTAATTTAATTAGCGGAAGGATCGATCTTACGTATTTGTCTGAAGTCTACAGAAATTCGTTCTTTTTTCTTCATCCCGCAGTATTGACACATTCATTTCAATTTCAGAAAATCATCACAATATCGGCAAATAAATTGCGTTATTAAAATTTCAATTAATGGGTTCAGTACTGTATTTCAGAATTACTTGGTTGGAAATAAGAATCATGGCTATTAATTCGGTTGCCATCATTAATATTCTAAAATTTAGTCTCGAATAATAAAATGTTAACTTTTTGTTACATGGCCTATCCTATATCATTTTCTAGCCAAATTAAAATCGTATTTTATTCATGACACTGATGGTGTGTATGTTTATATAAATTATTTGTTGAATGCATTGTAATTAGCGGTACTTCACATACTTCAATCCATTCCAGATCCTTGGTCGTATAATGTATGAACTTTTCCGATAAGAATTAAAGGGGAAATAATTAATCCATTTCTAAGAAAAAAAGTTCCTTTTGTTATTATTATAACACTTTTTAATAGTAAAACACATATGAAATGCG